TGTTCACTTCTAACCATGGCTAGTTGCTCTATATTTGAATTATCGCTGTTATTCAGCCAGCCGATAGTTTGAATCTTACTGTATATAGGCATAACTAGATTGTGTGTTCTTAGAACTAAAAACGGGACAAACTTTCATTCCCGGCACTGGGAGGAGGAACAACTGACAAGATGCTAAAAGGATTTTTAAAAGCTCTAATGTGATTGTTGAATTAAAGGGCCAGACTCTGTTCAAAGTTACACCAAATGTAAAACTGAAGTAATCTCACTGACTCTGGATTTACACAGGTGTAACAGTTATGCCCCAAATGTTTTCCTCACAGATTTTTTTAGAGAATTTCATAGATAACTGGCAGTTCATTCTTTTGATTTGAATGTGGCTGGGTTAATCCCAGAAAAGCTCAAGTTTGGTACTGAGAAGTAATGGATTAATGGACAATGAGACGAAGGGGCACTGTGATACTGGGAGTGTTGCTTTTCAAAGAAGATATAAATCCAATGCCCTGGCCTCTTCTGGTCATTAAAGATCTCCTGGCAATTAATCCCAAGGCCCCAGACAAATTCAGTCTCAGATGGTTATTTAAATTCCCCCCACAATTTCAACCAGATATGGTATTTTGCAATTCTTGCCCAAAATGGTTGTGTAACGCTGCTATCCACCCCAGAGATATCTGCCTTTTAGGGTGAGTGAAGATGAGTCTTGTGTAAAGTTGGTATATCAGAGCGTTAGGACTCTGGTGGATGAAAGGGGATTTATAAATGAAGGATGGCTTATTATTAATGATCATTATTTAACAATTGGCAGAAGGATCATTGTAAAATAATTGGCCAGTGAGGAATGCTGAGTGGTGAAATTGTATTGAAACAATAACAAGACATGTTCTCTTCCTAGGGCTGACTGCTTTGTACTATGTAGAGATGGATCTTGATGATTACAAGGCAAATGCTGCTTTTTCCTGCTCAGGGTATGAGCATGCAAGACAGAGAACGGGCAACAGAAAGGCTGCTCAGGGGATTCCAACACCCTTCACATACTGTAGAGAAGTTCTCTCTGACTGCTCCTTCCATAAAAGCAAGATGGATGGTTTTGGGGTGGATGGGGCAGGAACATGGGTCTGTGAACTACAAAGATGTCAAGCCCCCTACCAGTAAAAGACTCCAGAGGAGGCAGTCTCACTCCCAGCCTGCTCTGGTTTCTCTTTGATTCAGGTTCTTATATCCTCCTCATCTCCACAGTACCCGAGAGCCTACCAGAACAGCACTAAGCTATGTGATTAGAAATTGCCACATGTGATTCTCTTTCTCCCTTTTCACTCCCACAGTAAAACGGAGGGTTTCTTTCTTTTTCCAATTTTAATTGCATTTATTTTTGTTTACTTTATACCTGCTCTGCTATGAGTTTGATCTTGCCATCAGTAACAAATAGTCTTGCACTTGAACAGAAAGCGGTGATGTGTGAGATGGATTCTAGATCCTGTTGGAGGGGAGGATTCTGTCTCCCAAGTCCTGCCTGATCTGCACAAGGTCCCTTGTACATACCCCTGTAGTCATTCTTCATGCAGGTGATGAGGATTTGGCCCAGAGTTTCCTGACAAGAAGATGGTCTGATTTTTAAGTCACTGAACCGTCACACTATTTGAGGTAGTTATCTGGTTTTTTTTCTCTGCTGACCAGGCCTGTGGAGATTTTGTAATTATATATTCTCAGGTATTCTTGTATTTGATTTAATAAACAAACAAGATAAGAGATCAGAAGCATTTCTGCAAGCTCCACATCAGCACTATACCTGAAATGAAACTCATTCCAAGACCACGTTTCCTCTCATATCCTTCTTGAACAGATCGACCAGACCACTAACTACTGTCACTCTCTATTAGTCATGCTTGGTGTGTCTTAATTTGTCCTTCACTCGCCTCACAAAATCCTCAATAGAAAAACAGACACTGAAAGTGCAATGAAAACCTGAAAAATCTTCATTTGGAGCGCCAGAAGTCTGACTTTACTAATTCTCTCACACACAAACTAAGGATGTCTCTGGAGTAATTAGTAAAAGAATAGGGTTAATTTAGCTTTCTCGTGGTGAGGGTGATTCATTAAAACACTGCTCATTTTCAGGGATTATGCAAGTCTACTATAATCTAAAAGGGTAGCATAAGGCATATAGAAATATATGTCCCTAGACCCTCCCAGTAAGAAAAAGTCAAACCTATTGGTCTGAGATGTTAATGTTTATAAGGGTATATATGGGTGAAGCTGTCAGCTCTACCAAGAGGCAACTACCAGCTAAACTAGGGCCTTGTGACTAATTCTGAAATTGTACCCCCTTTCCCACAGAGACGTGTGTGTGTGTGTGTGTGAATCTTGTCTATGTGTGAGAGTGTATGTCATCATGTCTACATGCAAGTGAATGTGTGTCTGAGTGGGAGAGAGCGAGCTGAGCAATCACCCTAATTAGGCAACCATCTGTCTTTAAAGACCATTCCAAAGTAGCCCCAGAAGTACAGAGTACAATTCTGCTTCACCTTTATTGGAAGGTCATCTCTGTTAAACAACTGACACATGCTGATCCCTTGAGTGGTTACTTAAGACAGATTTCACTCTATATAAAAATGTGATTTACAAAATACACAGAAGCAGACATCAATCTCCATCCATCGTTCGTTTTTTCATCTAACTTAAAGAGCAGGGTAGTCTCTCTCTCCCCCCCCTCATGTTTCTGTACAATGCACAGTTAGCAGAAGATGTTTTCCTTTATGTTAGTTTCTTAATTGCGTCTTCATTTGTGAGCAATAACTCATGGGGTAAACTGAATTACAAGAATGGATGGGAAACAAATTCAGAGCTGGTGCAAGCAGCTGTAGCCCCAAATGAAGTAATGGTGCCTGCTTTTGCCCCTTTGGTTTGCCATTTTAGGCAAAAAATAAATCAATTTAGAGTTGATTGTGGCAGGCGGCAAAAGTGAAGAAATCCCACATAAATTTCAAATAAAAGTGAACAAAAGTAAATAAAGCACAAATCAGTTGGCCCTCTAGATAGAACGCTATGTAGAAACAGGTGAGAAAAGCAATATATGCTCTTTCGTAACGATTCTTTTATTTTATAATAGTCAAAATAAAACAAAATGATCAGGCAAAAAAATAGTAACACGTAGCATTGTATAAACAGGAAGCGATCATCCTCACCACACCACTCTGAGGCAGGGAAGTATTAATATCAGAGGGGTAGCTGAGGGGAAAAGACTACAACCTGCCCAAGTTACCTAGGGAGTTACTATCAGAACTGGTTTAAAACCCAGGAGTTCATAGCCTCCTAACCTGTGCTGCTCTCTCTGAAAGCAACGGGAATTGTGCACACACACATCTCAAAAGGTACAGACATGTATTTTAGGAATATTTAAATGTTTCATGGTCCTTGTGTGTGTGCGCCTGTAATATTTCTCTACAGCAGTGGTCTGATGGGAGTCCAGGGAGGGTTGACTGGTTACATACAGCTGACTGTTCCTCCTTGCTTCTAATAGCTTTTACAGAGAATGGGCTCTTAATTGCAAAGAAGAGCCTCGATGCATGTAGAAGCAGCTGGAAACCAGGCAGGGGAGACTGCATACTCTGCCTCCATTGCAGTCTCTAACACATCAGGAAGGGGAACTGGAGCATCCTTCAGGGACTGGAGCAGGAACAGAGGAATTGGGGAATTGGAGTTGTCAATCACCACTAGCATCCACCAGTGGGAAGCCATGGAGAAGGGGACTGGGTAGCCAGCGATCATGAGCAAGGAACCAGTGGGCTGAGTAATTGGGAAAGAAGGGGACTGAGCTTGATATGTTTATGGAGGGGGTGGTATGATGAGACTGCCTCTAAGGCACGTAGCTGAGTTGCGACTGCCAGCAGCAAATATCTCCAACGGCTGGTGATAGGACAGTGGATCGGGAGGGCTCCGAGTTACTACAGAGAATTCTTTCCCAGGTGTCCAGCTGGTGGATCTTGCCCACATGCTCAGGGTCTAACTGAATGCTATATTTGGAGTCGGGTCAGATTGGCAGAGACCCTAGAGGTTTTTCACCTTCCTCTGAAGCATGGGGCATGAGTCACTTGCAGGTTTAAACTAGTGTAAATGGTGGATTCTCTGTAACATGAAGTCTTTAAATCATGATTTGAGGACTTCAGTAACTTAGCCAAAGGCTATGGGTCTATTACAGGAATGGGTGAGTGAGGTTCTGTGGCCTGCAATGTGCAGAAGATCAGATTAAATGATCATGACGGTCCCTTCTGGCCTTAGAGTCTACAGACGCTCCCGGACTTACGCAAGCATTCCGTTCTGGAACGCCTTGCGTAACTCAAATTTTGCGTAAGTCGGAAACGTATACCCGACCATTACGCAAAAACCAACCAACCAAACAAAAAAAACTATTTCTATCTTATGGAACTTTTTCTGTAAGTCCGGATTTGCGTAAGTCGGGTTTGCGTAACTCAGGGGGTGTCTGTATGAGTCTAAGAGAAGCATGTGCAGAGGAATGGAGGGAAAAAGTGGGGAGAACAGCACTCATGGAAGCTGGAGGAGATGTAACAAAGAGCAAAGGGAGAGAATCTGATTAATTTACCCCCCAAAAAAGAACAAAGGGCTTATCTTATGAAACATGATTCAAGATACGAAAGTACTTTCCTATCATAATTTTTCTATCCAAGTCACTGCTGTATTTGCTAAGGTGAGGTTGCATGTTGGTGATCAAGGTCATGATTAGGAGGCTGGGAGGAGTGGCAGTCTGTGTGACTGTGGATGAGACGGAGGTATCCATCTCTATTAAGATGTCATCCACCTATGAAATAGCTTGAGAGCCCCTGCCCTGCTGTATCAGTACAGCCATGACACACACACAATATCGATACACATGCCAACATCTACACAGCAGCTTTACCAAAGAAAGACATTGAGACTCTCAGTACAGGAGTGGACTGTTCCTTTAAGGGAAGTAGTGGTGCAGAGCATTCAGGAACACCTACTTACCAGTTAAGTGGTTGGCAATCCTGGCAATGGGTTTAGGAGGCAGGGCAGGGGGCTGTTTGAGGAGGGACAGCTGTTTCACTGGGGTGTCCTCATGGTCTCCAGGGAAAGCAGCAGATTTTTTGGGGGGAAGTAGCAGGACTGGTTTAGCTGAAGGATCTTGGGACAGGAGGACTCCAGACTCACTGGATCTGGGGCTCTCTTCAGACACTGGAGGACACAACCACATCATAGACGCAACAACGTTACAAGCAGAGTGGCAGCAGGTACAGTAATAGTAAGAGAAGAAAAACAGCACAGAGATGCAGATTAAAAACATAACTAATAGATTGTGCTCAAACATCGTAAAACACAAAGAGAGAGAGAAAGAAAGAGAGACATACATACACCCCCCTACACACACACCTACACCACAGGCCAATTTCAGCACTGGGTCATTCTCCATTAAAACCAATGGAGCATCTCTCACTGACACCAGAGTTGAATTTAGTCCCACACACCTTTAACACAATTAAGAGCCTTGAAATGTCAAACCCCAGACGGGTAACAATACACAATCAATAAACAAGTAGCTAGTCGACAGGTTTATGTGTCCACACAATGGCATCCTGCCCATCTCTCTGGCAGGGTCCATTATATTTTCAAAAGACCACACAGTTGTGCAGGATCACGGATATGCAGTTATACCAATTATGCATGCCTTTTCATTCTTCCTCTTTGGAGCAATGTGCAATAGTTGCCACACAGCTGGTGAAAGGCACATTTTGTGTCACATGCCTCAAAAATGCTTTCTGAAGTCTGCTGTAGAACTGAGCGGTACAGCGGAAAAGCAACACCAGAGTCAATCATCTTGGTTCTTAAGAATGTTATTTTCTTATGTAGCAGTTTCTTCTCTGAAGCTATGCCTTTTACAGCGGGGCTGAATTTCGCCCATTACTATTTGAACGGTATTGTGGTTTCCATCCAATTCCCTCTCTCTCTCAAAATAACAGACATGGAAATTGTTATGTTGTTGCTGTTGTACAGTATAATTGAACGGCTTTTTCTTCAACAGGTGCAAGGCCTAACTGATCCACATCTTGGCAGCCCAGGTATGAAGACTGTGACCCCTTTCTAGTCAAACTGTGATTTGAGAGGCATTCCACTGAAGCCAAAGGCGTTACTTCTGATTCAATCAGATGCAGCTCAAGTGGACTGTTGTTTCTCACCAGAGACACCCCATTTAACTTTCTCAAGGACAACAAAAGCAGAAGTTGAACACTAAAGCCGGTGGTCTTCAACAGGAGGTTTTGGCTGGCCATCCTGAAGCTGTGAAAGGGGTCGCTACCAGTGGCCTCTTTAGAATGGTCAGGTTTTAGATTCCCAAAGTCAGAACTTCTTTACATAAGGTTCTCTATTTGAGCTGGTGAATGGATGGGTCTAGGCATCTGCATCAGGGGCAGGTGGATCAAGTCAGATAAAATAAGAAGTTAAATTAACTTTGGTTCAAGACTTAAACTGAACCTTTCTGATGTTAATACAAATAATAATATGGTTGCTTCCCTCCAACCCCTCATATTTTCATGCCTGTGCCTCTCCAGGACCAGCAGCACATGTGCTGAAATACTACGAGAAAAAGAGTTCGGACAGTTTGCTTAAGTACCTAGATTTTTGGAGGTTGCGCCTCATCTAAACAGAAACTGCAATTCTTTTAAGAGATGCCCAAAGCTAATTCAAACATTGTCACTCCCTCATCCACAACTAGGTCTCACATTCCTTATGTCAAGATAGCTGTTTTGTCACTCGGTGACCCAATGGGTCTGAGTAGACTTTTCTGACCTATCAATTTACCCTAAAATCTGAAATCACCGCTCCTGTGCTGAGCTTTCCTTATTGAGCAGCTGCTCTTGAGGCACTAACCTTGTGAACTGGAAAGCAGAGGGTTACTTCTGAGCTATACAATGTCTAAACCTTGTCCATATGATAAATGGTCTGCCTTTTCTTTTATCTTAACTATGTTCTCATTCTGCGCTAGGTGTGAGAATCCCTCAGAACTCCTTATCACAGCCCCCCTGCATGTTAGGGCCTCGGCATTACCTAACAAGCTATTTGCTTTGTTACAACAGTGAAACATAAAACCCTCCTCTCTAAATTTGAGAGTACGCAAGACTTGCCAGGCTTCTGCTTTCATTACAAAATCTTCTTTCCAAATAGCAAAGAACACAGAATATCAATGAAAAAATGAAATTAAATCTATACAGTTTCCAGACTTGAAATGTACAAAGATTTTACTGTGCATTCTTATTTATGCATGTTACTCACTAGTAGTATATTTACAGAAAGATGGTAACCCCAGTCTATAGTCCTGCATACAGATGGGACCAAGTTACAAAGTTGGACCTGAATCCAAACTTTCCCCAAGTTTTGAAGTGTTCGGATCTGAGGTTCTGGCTTATATCTACTCCTGTATGTCAAGAGCACTCCTGTGTGTTAAACATTAAGTATCAAAGACCAAAAACCATCAGAAGCCAATTTTAAAAAGCTTTAAAGAGCATAATGTTGAAAAAAAATCTATATTTTGTATCTTAGAATGAAAATAGAAATGTTACCTGTCCCATCCATGATATCTGTGGTTGGGAGCACCTCATACGAACAGGGTTCCCCAGACGCGGAACCGGATTCCAGTTCTGCTAGGCCTGGTAGTGAAATCTGGCTGGAGCTCAGAGCCTGCCCATTCTCCAATGATCCTTCATTTGGTATGGAAAGCTCCCCATCTGACAGCATTTGGAAGAAAGCACAATGATAATAGATCAAGAATAAGTAAGATATTATAAGAATTTAAATAAAACAGTGTCTGTAAAGAGACTGCCCTAAAGCTGTGGTTTCCTGTGGATTATTCATGGCTCAAGTACCTAAATGGTGACTACACTTCCAACAGACACAGCACACAATCCATTTATTTAATATTTATTTAGGCATGGCCTATATTTACAGCAGCCTTATTTACATTCCCCAGAAATCTTTCTTAGTTCCTCCAGTGAAACAAACTCCTCCTTCACAATGTCATGGTGTTTGTATCACAGCGTTACAAGCTGGGTATGTTGCAATGACAATTTTCTGCAATGTCAGGTTGAGATATCTTGTTGCAACAGAATGACATGCAATTTTGCAACCTAATGGCATTTCACTCACTTCAAAAGTGGCTTCAAGATTTGGGAACATCCTGAAAAATGTTCTTGTTGGACATGGGATTATGGCAAGAAAATAATTATGATAATCAGAAATGAGGGCAAATGTGAATGATCCCCATTCCTTCTCTACCTTTATATAGTCCAAAAACCTATTTGTATTGCACCTCTGCCAAACCTGTGAAGCGGGGGAGGAGAATGTGCTTGAACTGATGCTATGAAGCTTTTGTATTAATTTTGTTTCCCCTCCACTTGTTTTTATGACATAGGAGACATATAAATAACATCACAGACATATATCCCTATTTCACACACCACTAAAACCATTAAAGCTCCCAGCATGACCAAGAGTTTAAGTAAAGTGATAGACTAACTTTTATGGCCAGTTGGTATAAAGCCTTAATATTGGCATGTAGCAAATTCTAGCTGGAAAACCCACCTATAAAATCCTTAAAAAATCTCTCCTTTATCTGCACGAATTTCTGTAGCAGCAATAGATTTCTTTTTCCCATCAAACACTAGCCAGGACTAAAAACATCAGGACAGGAGAGAGAGAGTTACTATTATTCTCAATGGTGTCAACTCTTGTGATTTGATTGCAAGTCTCATGATATTTCCTAACCTCTCAGCTGTTGGAGGCATGAGCATCTCAGTTTTTATTAAAACAAATAAAAACAGTAAGGTTCTACCCCTTGTGGTTGTGGAAAAATGAAAGCCTGAAAACCTGATGTGATGGGTTCCCCCTGGGTGCCACCTTGAACTGGGGTTCTACTGAGCTCTCTGACCCACCAGCCTGGGCTCCCTCTTACACTGTACTGCTGGGACGAGCTGTAGACCGATGTACACAGGCAGGGACACACCCAGCTGCAGTTACATACAGGCACCAACTAGGCACTGCACAAACCAACAATAGAGAGGCTACAGCCAAGATAACCCCCCAGCCTAAGACCCCAGAGCTGTACTGTCCTGCTCTGATTGAAACCCCGACCAGCATGAATTCATTACCCAGTTTGCCTCTCCCTTAATGTGGAGAGGAATATGCAACAAACTTGTGTTAACCAAGGTAAGATTTTTCCCCAGACACTTCACCTAAAGGCACACTAGTTTAGATGAAAACATAAAACAAGTTTATTAACTACAAAAAGATAGATTTTAAGTGATTATAAGTGATAACAAACAGATCAAAGCAGATTACCTTGTAAATTAACAAAACCGCAAACTAAGCCTAAAATACTAGAAAGATGGGATATGAATTAGCAGTTTCTCACCCTGACTGACACAAGCAGGCTTGCAGATTCTCAAGGCACAAGCTGCACTTGCTTTGCAGCTTGGGCTCCCCACCCTCATTCCAAGTCCTTTTTTTTTTTTTCAGAGCTTCTCTCAGGTGTTGAGTTGTGGGGAGGTGAAGAACCACGGATGATGTCTCTCCCTGCCTTATACAGCTTTTCCATATGGTGGAAACCCTTTTTTAAAAAAAAATTGGTTCCCAGACCAGTTTGTGGAAAAATACAGGTACCCAAAATGGAGTCCAGAGTCATGTGGTCTGGTCACATGCCCTTGCAGAGTCATAGCAGCCATTACTTACAGGCTGTCTGGAGCATTCTCAGGAAGGCTCACCAGGCAGGAGATAAACTTCTCCTAAGGCCTATTGTTTTTCCTAATGGCCTACTACACTGAATAGACCCTTCACAACCAGCTGTCTAGACTGGAAGCATTTTGCCTAGTGGGTGTTACCCAGGTGTAAGCACATTTGAAATACAGATACCTACTCAAAATTCATAACTTCAGATCCAAAAAGTATACATGCATACAAATAGGATAATCATATTCAGCAAATCATAACTTTTCCAATGACATCTTACATGACTCATCTTGTGCAAATTGCATCATCATGTCATAATCATATCATAACCATACCCCCATGATGCATATGGAGTGTAGTGTCACACATGACCCCAATGCACCTAATGGTTCAGAAGCCAGAAGGCAAATAGAAAGAACCCAAACCTTATTATTTATTTAAATCATGATTTTTGGGGCCTGACTTATGATTTTTGAAGACTTGGGGTTGGCACTGTTACATTCCAATTCCCCAAACAGAGATGTACATCATCAAAGTGAGAGGAATCATCTGACAAGTACATTCCCAGCTCAGAAGGCCAAGATGTGCATATCAGTTTGGAAAGAGATGAAAAGCATAAAGTTCACTAATTCAGCCTCAGGACAATGGCAATTAATATGTCTGAAGGTAGATTAGCAACAAAGAATTCAAAATCATGTTTGTGACCTTTAAGACTCCTTTATGAACTATGAAGATGACCTTCTGCTTATTTTGAACCTTGGAATTATTAGGAATATCAGGGTCTTGACTTCCTTGTTTTTGGTGGAGGATTTTTGGAGGACTAGCATGACATAGCATGAGAACGGGCATGGGACAGTGACATCACAATAAGCTGAAACCTGAATAGTAGTTTTCTCAGCATTTAGCTGAGTTAGAAAGGGGAGAGAATATTAATGAAACCTGTAGGTTTTAGTTAGTTGGTAACTCGGTGGCCTGATTTTGATCTCACTTGCCCTGATTTTACACTGCTGTAATTCTGTTGACGGCAGCAGAGTTACTTCTGTTGATCTGAAAACAGAGTCAGGGTTCTAGCTCTACCACTAGAGCTAAATTCAATTTTCTCAGCTGTTCCATGCAACTATTTCCAATTTGAAACACAGTATTTCAATATATATTCATTCATTTCATCTAGAGCTAAATTTAACCATATCAGGTAACAAAGTGTACTATGAAAATAGCAAAACTTGCTTGCTTGAGGAAAAATGATACACTGTAAAATAAATCTGGGTCCTAATCCTGAGGTGCTGAGTAGAGTTGGATAGTGAATGTTTTCCCATCCTGGGACAGTTTTTGAGCTTTTGATATTTTTTCTTGTCCCAAATTGGGATGAAAAATCAAAATCTCAATTTTTTTTCCAAACCGAGAATCTGAAAAATATTTGAATTGGGTCAGCCAAAATTTCTCATTTAGACTTCCATTTTAACCTTTATTTTTAGTACAAATAAGCTGAAATTTTGAAACAAAGACATTTTCAACATTTTGTTCAATTGGGAGACTGTCGAAACCGACCCTTTCTAATTGGCATTTTCCATAGAAAAAAATGTTTCATTGGATAATTCCCAACCAGCTCTACTAGAGCTAAGCACCCTCAGGTCCTACTGACTTCATGCTTTTAGCATGTCTCTGTAGGTGTTCAACGCCTACTAAGAGGCGGTATTAAAATTTACCATTTGAGGCATGTTTGAAAAAAATATCAAGATGACAACACAAATACTTTTGCTTTTTAATTTTTTCCATAGCAGCAAAACACAAGAAGTCTTTTTGCTGGTGGTAAGATTTATTTATTTTGAACTCATCTTCATTTAAATTCTAAAACCCAATAATAGCCCTTTGGTGCTCGCATTGTGCTGCAGTCTTTTGACATTTAGGGAACATTGTTGAGCAGTATGCCCAAAATTTGATCTTGTTTAAAGCAGAGCAACATAAAAGGCTGCTAGTTAACAGCACAGGGAGAGATCAAAGGCTTGGATACAATGGTCATTTGTAGAGTCAAGAATATCCCAGCATGAATTAATCCTGGCTCACAGGCATGCTTGACAACCAGATATAAAAGTCAAATTATTTTTTTTAAAGTGTATTGAAAGCTGCTCTGGATAAATGAAATACGAATGAAAAGAATCTAACTTCAGCATAGTTAGAATCTAGTACTCCAATTACAAAGTATAAAATGATTTAGTCCTGAAGAAGTATGAGTTTAGAGTTAATTTTGGCATAAAGATAATACACATCCTCGTTTCTCTGTGCATTTGCAAAATCCTTTGCAGTATTTGCATGGAGCATGTTGTTACATACTGCAGAATTACTTTCCCCAGCATCACATGAGCTTTTGGAAATGCACATTGAATATAAATGAACTCTAGCTAAATGGGAATGAACAGAATAACTTACATTTATTCTACAGCAGGAGCACATGAGGGCTACTGTTCTCTGCTAATTAGGAGGTATAGCACACCTACTAGTCATTTAAAAAAAAAAAACAGCTACGGCCATAGAGGCAACTATATAACATGGAAGATGCTACACTGACACTTTGATTCATCATAGCCTGTAAAAGTAACACCATGCGGCTGAAAATCTAAGTATGTAGAACAGATACTGGGAAGACATGGCCCCCTAAGCATGGTTTAATCCTCCTGAACTCCTCCACACTGCCCCTACCATCTCCACTTTTACGTAACTTTTGAAAACATACTTCTACTGAGCTACCTCTAGCAAAATCTTGTTGATTTTTATAGAAAAAACTTTTTTTGTTGTTTGCCTTCCTGAAACTCTGACTACCTGTCTGACTGTCTTTCTTTAGACTCTGAGTGCTGCAGGGCAGGGACCTTCTATGTTGGAGTGCTATCACTAACAAATAATGAAATAATAAAAATAATAATTCTCTATACTGGATTATTTAGATCTATATCAGTTTTCTCCTTGAAAATTTTCCTCCTCTCAGGTAATCTGTGTCCAGGCAAGGATA